GCAGCCGAGGCACCCGCAACAGAAGCCGTCGAGGCCCCCGCAGCCGAGGCACCCGCAACAGAAGCAGCAGAGGCCCCCGCAGCAGAGGCCCCAGTAACGGAAGCCCCTGCAGCAGAGAGTGATGGTACGGCTGTTGTAGTTGAAGTCCCACCCGCTGAGGCAGAGACTGCACCTGCAGCCCTTGAGGCTGAGGCAGCTCCTGCTGCAGAGGTGGCTGCTTAATGCTCTGAAGGCTCGTTATAGTTCGGCCTGAAAGGAGGGTTAGGTTAGCTGTGCTGTGTCCCACCTCTCTGGGCCCAGGAAAAAAAACGACCCATGAACCCCTGTTTCAGTAAAGAGGTAAAAACATTGTTCAGTTTTCACTTCAGTCAGTGAGTGAATAACAGTTTGGGGTTCATCAGTCCAGTTTTCTTGGGCCTTTCTTCCCTTGACCTCCCCCCAACTTTTAGAGCCAAACCATAACATTCTGCATCAGGCTGCCTGAACAGATTCAATTTGGAAAAGTCACTTTCTATAGGAATTCACTTCAAAAGCGCAGAGCTGATTCACATTATGGTTTGGCTGCTGTACAGATGATGGTGTTGAAGCAGGTGATATAAGGGAGTGAACAGAGTCGGTAACCAATGTTCTTTTGTAAAATGATCTTTTAAGTGGCCTTAACCGTCTGAAATAGTTTTGTGTTTCTTTCAGTTTCCTTTGCACTTGACTTTCCTCTGCCCAGCAAGCACTTACTTCCAGCTACAGAATGTTGCATGAATCTTTTTACTTGGATCAGGGTTAGTGTGCAGACAGTAGGGAGATGGATCAGGAAGTCGACTTGTTTCATTCACATTTAACTCTTTCACCCTGAAGTGTGACCAAAACCAGTCCGTGTTTCTTCTCCAGCCATTCTTGACTCCTATGGAACTGTTTTGTTTTTTTTCCCCTCAGAGTTTAAGATATTCTCTCCTTTTTAGAATGTGATTTTCTTTTTTCTTTTTTTTTTCAAATATTTCCATAATTGCATTCATTAGTTATGTCTATAGCTGCGCTTTCATGTATCTGCATCATGATGAGATCTTTTCTCAGAAGGCCATTTTCTAAGTGTTTTGAAGACTCTCCTGCTCCATCTGGTCTCTGTAACTGATACTAATCTTTCAGGGAACACTATTGAAAAGAGAATAGATTCACTTCTGTGTCTGAGCATTGAAAGTTGTCATTATCATTAACAAATATAAGTGTTCAAAGAATAAAGCATCACTGGATGATACATAAGTTTGAAGTCACTCTTTTTTTATTGTGTGGGGCATGTATGCGTAAATGATATTTTTACCTGCATGTAAATGTTGGCAGGTTTTGTCCGAATTGCATCAGAAACATCATCTCATGTGTCTAGGGCTAATTTATGACTTGCATACATTCAACACATTTTTATTTAGATGAATGTGAAATGTTAACTGAATTATTCTGTAGCTATAGAAACTCCCTCTTTGTAGAGATTCTCTTTCCTGAAAAATCCTTGTGCCATGTTCATGCTCCTTTGCATTCAAGTGGGGAAAACTAAGATTTCAAGAATTGTTCTGCCTGATACACGATACTGTATCCTAGAACTGCCTCACCTTTACTAATGTTTACAGCTTGAATGTTTTCTTTATAAGTTCATAGTTGAATCACAGACTTGTATCGCTTTTTTTGCATTGTACAGTTCAAAGCTGCCTCACAGACAGTTTAAGACTAATCCAAGATTAGTGTTCATTTTTAGGATGTCCTGGTGGTTTGCCAGGGTTGAGTGACAGATGAGTGACAAACCATACCTGTGACTCCCAGTACATTGTTTACTACTGTATCTAGCAAAACATAAATGCATTGTTACTAAAAACTGAACATCATTGAAATGTGTCCATCCAGAGTTTTGCGAGTAATTTGTTGGGTACCTTATTCTGAAAGGCAGTGCTGTCAATTTAAAGTGTTAAGCGTGCTCGCAGGATGTTCAGTATCTGAGATTGTTACTGTCTCAGGACACGTTTGAAAAGTAGGAGCATGAACTGGGCAGATATCTTCCTGTAGAGCATTTCCTGAAGCTGTGGTGAACGTAGACTGTCCAGTGATAGACTTCTGCTCTAGGTAAGTAGATATGTATTTGTGCAAATACGTTACTGTGTATATCAGATACAATTCAACTCATGCCATCACTTCCTGTTCTCCTTCCCTATTTCAGAGTCTCTGCCAGATCTGCTCACAGCTGTGAAGATCTTGGCCGGCTCCACAGTTGATATCGCAGCCGCTTCTGTTGGTGAGACGAGTCTGGTGAAATCTGTCCGACAAATAGAGGAGGATGGAAAAGATTTGGAACCCACCCTGGAGGTGGTGGAAGTGACCACAGAGGTGGTATCAAAGGAAGCAGCTGAGGAGGCAGCTGAAGTAGTGATCGTGGAGGAGCTGAAGTCTGCAGAGGCTGGTGCTCATGAAGAAGTGGCTGAAGCTCCATCTGCTGAAGAGGGGATGACTGAGGAGACTCCTGCTCCTGCAGAGGAGGAAGCAACTGCATCTCCTCCAGGGGAAGGTGAGGTTTCAGGCCATGCAGTGGAGGTGGGAGAGGTCAGCGATGAGGATGAGGTGCCAGGCCCTGAAGCTGCTCCAGAGGAAGCTGTCTCTTCTACAGGGGCCTCACCTGAAGTTACAGCTGAGGACATTTCACCCACTGAAGTCTCTGTGGAAGAAACTGCATCTGAAGTTACAGGTGAGGACATTTCACCTGCTGAAGCCTCTGTGGAAGAAGCTGCATCAGAGGCCTCACCTGGAGATACAGCTGAGGACGTTTCACCTGCTGAAGCCTCTGTGGAAGAAGCTGCATCACAGGCCTCAGCTGAGGATGTTTCACCTGCTGAAGCCTCTGTGGAAGAAGCTACATCAGAGGACATAACAGCTGCTGAAGAGGCCAACACCGCTGCAGAAGCTGCTCCACTGAATGAGACGTCACCAGTGGAGATAACACCGGCCGCAGAAACAACAGATGAAGCATCAGCAGAGGACGGAGATGAAATGGTGTCAACACACAGTGAAGCTGTGGCAGTCGTGGACACGGCTCAGCTGGCTGCAGCCTCAACCACAGCGGATCTAGAAGTTCTTTCTGCTGCTGAACCAGAATCTGCATCAGAGGCTCCAGTACATGAGGAAGCGCACTGCCACTCCTGCCACTCTGCTCCCTCAGCTGGAGAGGAGGTGATGCCACTGGCTGCTTTAGAAGAGGAGCTGGTCAGTGAGGGAGCAGTGGATATAACACATGTGGCCATGGAGGTGGTGTCGGACGTGGAGGGACAAAGTAAGAACACACAGGCTGCCAGTCTTTGAGTTTTTGAACACCCCATACCTATTTTAGCCTTACCTGTAAATTACCAAATATATTTATCTTGGTTTGTTAAATCTAAGGCAAGGAAGTCAGCACAGTACAGTTTAATAATTAACTGGGAATTGTTGGGGCTTGGAAATAATGAACCAATCAGTAATGGCCGGACCGTGTTGAAATGTTATCATCCCAAAGAGGGATGTCAAATAGAGATAATGTACCTTTAACTCTGTTTTTCAGATTTCAGAGATATTACACATTGTTAGAGCTTGTACTAGACAATGCTTGAAAAATAATTCACTGAGGTAAGTACTGTGTCTGGAAGATTGTAATGTAGCTGTAAGCAGCTATACATTCTTTTATTTTGTGTGAAGCCTCATGTGGACATCACATGTTGGAGGATAAACAGAAATGAATGACAATATAGTCAAATACTGTTGTAATGACATAAAACCTGTCTTATGTAAATTTACAATTGTTGATAAATACTTAAAATGTCCTATTATATGGTTTGCATTGACATTTTAATGCAAAATAGGTGGGCTATTTTCATTACATTAAACCAGGAAGACAAAATTGTTTGACATGAAAACTTTTAGCCAGTAGCAACACAGTAAAGACACACTGACTCGTAGTGTAACTAATAACTACTTACTTCACTCAAGTAATGACAAGCATGGGTTAATATGTTTCAACAACGTCATAAAAAGTTTACAAAGATGATCCGCTTTCGAACATGAACTCAAACCTGACTGTAGTGTTAAATGAAGGTTTCAGAGGGGATACAGGCCCAGTCTCCCAAAAAATCATGTAGGCCAAGCAGAACATTTATTCAACCTGTGTTTCTCTTGTGCTCAGCTGAATGCTTCGTGATGGCTGGTGTGATGAAACACATAGACTGAGCATCAGATGTAAAAATATTAAGTGCATCCATTTTTATTTGCAATTTTCTGATATTTTAAGTCATGGGGAGAAAAGTATAGATATGCTATATACAGAAAAAACATTGCCAAAACACACATTGCAGTATGTGAGGTTATTCATGAAGATAAATGTAAGTTACGCATCACATTGAAACACATAATACATTTTGCTAATTTGATATTCACATTACCGCTGTTCACTTCATCCATTTTAAAGAAAACAGATAATCTGAGTCTGCGGTGTGTGTGGCTCTGACCAGATGTATTTCTGCCTGTGTCCACAGAGCCAGAGGTGTCTGTCTGGACTGTAAAAAGCTGCTCAGTGATGTAATAGTACAGTTAAGAAGGTAACCAGTTGAAAAGCAGCACAACGATAAATACAGCTGTCTTTGTAGAACTAGAGATGGTAGAATGGACATCTTTAGGATAAGTAGCATTATCAGACAGCTCGATGAAACTGATTATTCCAGAAAGTATAAGTACCATAATGCAAGTTATCGAGGCTACACGGATTTGTGACAAATGTCCATTCTACTTATTTAAACTCTTAAGATAAGTGCAAAATCATAAAGCTGTGTAAATGAAACAAATATATTTATATTATTCAAATGGGTGTGTTTCTTTTGCAGGCAGCACAGAGACGACGATGGTGGTGGTGACAGCCCAGTCGTGACCGGACAGACAGTGTGCCTTCTGCAGCTCTAGCCTCTCTGTCAGTCAGGCCCCGATGATGATGATCCACATGAAAACAACATGAAGAGAACTATAGCCACAGGTTTAACTAACTAAAGTCTCCTTTCTGAAAAAGTATTACACTGTTTCCTCTCTGTTCTGTTACTGTTCAGTCTGTGTTAGTTTTTGTGAATTGATTCCCATAACGTCTCTTGTCCTCTAGGTGCCACTGTTGCAAAGCTTTTCATGAGGCAGTGGAAGTGGTTTGTCGTTGTTAAAAGTGTTGTCCTCACAATATTTACAAGTTCATTTCTATGTGGGCTTGCAACTTTCCAGCTGAAATTATACCGAACCAGATATGTTTTTTCCTCACTTTTGTCATTGTTCAAATGAAGTTGCAGGCATCACTATCTTGAGAGATGGAGACGAAGAAAAAAGTCAACATAATGGGGATAAACCAGACTCAGAGTGGGAGGCCATCTGCCTCGACTGGTTGGGGTGAGCGGAGGGAAAAATGGGGGACAGAGGTGGGTGGAAAAGAGGGGAGAGATGAGAGAGGGTGGAAGAGTAGAAGCCAGGAGCAGTTGTGTCTGTAAACTCTGGTTTAAGGTCATTTACAACCACTATACTTTCACTGAGACACTATTTTTATAGTAATTGATTCAGTTATAGCAGAAAACAACTTAAACACAAGTGAAGACTGTTACACTAATGTTAATATTTGCTTTGAAGGCAAACATACATTTAGATTGCCCATAATTTGGTGCATATCTATTTTCTGTTTTGTGTTATTGTCTGTATTTATTTTCTGTGACAAAAGATTGATAGACAGATCACAAGTAGGTTAAATTTCATACAAGTTGATTTGTACCTTTTCATTAGATCATTTTATTTAACCGTATCATCCCTCCAGTTCTCAGAGTACCAGATGCTTTGTTTTATAATTGTAGCTGAACGACATATAATCATAATTAACTTGAATGCATTTTTTTCTTAGTTTCATTTAATTGCGGTGTATCTGTTGTCATGATTGTGTCTACATAGGCACTTTAAATAAAAGAATGTATAAACCCTGACTCAGTTTTGCAGTGTTTGGTATTATGTGCTCACAGTGAATATCTAGTTTATTGACCACCTAAAGGAGACAGATCACTTCTTATTTGATTATTTGTCTAGTTTTCAATGAGTAACTTCTGATGCTCACGATCATTAACCTCGATGCATTTTAAGTAAAGAAAAGCAAGAAACCAATTCTTTTAAAATCTGAATATGGATTTCTATTAAAAAACAAAACACATGAAAGTTAAGTGGGTGTGTGTGTGTGGGGGGGGCGTTTACTCTGTGGAGCGCTGGTTGTTTATGATTCGACGTGACGTCACGAGTTTTATTTGCCCTAACAAGCGGAGGAACCAAGTGGACTCAGTCTCCATTATCAGCGAGCTGCGGCTTCTCATCCGCACTCTGTCCCGCGTGAAGCTCCGGGAGCAGCGGGCTCTTCACACGGTCCTTCTGCCTGCGGGCTCCACCGGGGCTCCGCGACCCGAACACACGCAGCGGCGGCGGGACTCCTCCGGCTGAGGGTCGAGAACAGGGGGAGGAGGAGGAGGAGAGGGGTTCCTGGATGTCACACGCACGGAGCAAACTCCCATTAGCCACGGCTAACGTCAGGCTGCTCCGTGTCAACGAACTTTGTTCTCGTTAGGAGGAAGAAGAAGCTAACGGTGTTAGCCGGTAAGTGACGCTACGCGACTAGCAAACATTAGCCACATGGTTTGTCGCGTTGCTTTCTGTGACAGCTCGTTTTGCTCGCAATGCTAAACCAGCGTGCTAACGCTAGCTAAGTTCATGTCAACTGTCAGTTTGTTGGTCATGAGTGCGACGTGCTCTGCACAGCACTTGTGAACAGCAGGTTGTAGTGCTGGTGAATAACTGAACAGCAGGAGTGTGGTGATCATGCATTGCTGACAGGAGGTGCACTGAGGAGCAGAGGTACCGGAGGCACAGTGGCTGCTGGTGGTGCATGATGTGTTTCACCGCAGGTTCGTGTCCAGTCAGTGGCTCATGTGTCACCAGGACGAACTGCGGCTGAGAGCAGAGGGTTATCATCAGGAGCCAACTTTGATTGTGCCTCTGACCTCGTTACCTGTTTTTCATGTGTCTCAGGTATTAACACGAGCAAACCAGATTAGTGTCAACATGCTGAACTCACACTGGCCCCGCTGAGTAAGTAGAGAGAGCAATGCTATTGTGTGATATGGTAACAGGTGGTGAGAAGTAGGCCAGAGATGCTGGTGGCAGCCAGTCAACATGCTAAGACTTTGTTAAGAGCGCCTTGAATAAAGCTTGTACAAACAGGTCCCTCTGCTTGATGTGCATGTGATTTAGTGTATTCTAGTTTGAGATGTCAAAATACTTGTTCATCAAAAAAATATTTGATAGAGCCTTTTGAGTATTTTAAATGTCCAGTGCTGTGCCTGTTGTCTGACTCAGTTCAGTATGATATTCTGTCATCTAGTCACCCTCTAATGTCCACATCACTGCTGAGTTATATTTACTATAATAATGATAGTAAATACCTGAGCTGGGTTATATTGAGAGTTGTTGCTAATAATGTGTCCATCCCATGACTATTATGTTTATCAAAATAGTAGGAACACCTCTCAGTATAACCCAGTACAGTTTAACAGCTTTAACCTCACCCAAATATGCGTGTCTTTGGACTGTGGGAGGAAGTCAGAGAAAACCAATGCAAGGCCACAGTGCTGTGGGCAATCACAATCCTTTTCCCCAATCAGCTATCATCTAGTAGGAAATCCTTCTGTTGGTTTGTGAATGTTGCAAAGTTCCATGTTATACAAGTAGACGGTGTAGTTTCCAATGACATCTTTACAAATATCTTTAAAGATAAATCATCGATGTCTTCAAGTTCAGCCACAATATATATTCACCAGGTTGTCGACCCCGACCTGTATAGTAGAGTCTCTACTTTGTGCTGGTGAATGATTGACCTGTCTGCCTTTTGCTCAGGCGGTAGATTCTGCAGTCTGACCCAGCAGTTGAACTGTGGTCTGAAGGTTTTTGTGGGGTCGACAGGGTTGTGTGTGAGTGCTCTGTGCTGAAGATAGATAACAGCTCTATTGAAACCTGATACAGATACTAGCTGCGGTTTGACATGTATAATGAAAAATTAGGTCAAGTGTCATGAATTTCTTTAATCTCCATGGGAAACATTATGAGGTCAAGAATGATGTGAGAGAGATGCTGCATTGATTTCATGTGTACATCATAAACAATGTCTCTGCTTGTTACTGCATCTATTCCCTTTGCATTCTTTTTACCATTCACTGCTCTCATTTTTAGTCTAGTTTATATTGTTTAAAGGAACATTTCAGATGTATGAGCCTTGTTTTGACCCAGACCATTTAACATTTCATATCCTAGACCCTTCAGGGAACTGCGGTCACAAGGAACCAGCCTTACAACTAATGTACTGAATATTGAGTCCTGAGAGAAATAATATAAAAGAACTACAACGCTAAAACAACCAAGTTGTGTTGAGAGTGACGTGTGAATAGGCTAAATTGATATCAAGTAATGAATTAGCTTTTTGTGTCACTGGTGTGTGTGTGCACGTGTGTGTTGGTTGAGGGCAGGGCACAAGGCAGCCCCAGTTACTTGGAACAAAAGCTCTGTTGTTGAAAGATCATGTGACTCTGTCTGTGTGTGTCTGTGTGTGTGTGTGTGTGTGTCTGCGTGTGTGTCCCGCCCTCATCATGTGATCTGAGCTCAGGGCAGGGTCTGAGAAGTGCTGCGTCGCTGTGAGAGGTTCCTTCCACCCAGGGAACATGCAGGCAGGCAAATGAGATGGTTGGCCCGATGGATGGATGGATGTCAGACAAAGGAGGTGTGGGAGAGAGTCAGAGAAACTGTTCTGTTCCTTTCTCTTACCATGCTGAGAAAACATCACTCATTCCTTCACACCCTGTCTCCTTGTGGATTAAAGATGCACGCCAGCGTGGTCACATGGACTTTTCTGTGCCGAGGCAAGTTTTTACATTTTTCCTCTTTCGTTTTGTTTTGATGTGCTCTGTGGGACGTCGCTGTGAAAAACATGGCCTGTCAGGATGACTGTGCTGTATCTTGCGGAGTCCTGAGACTGTTACTGATTCACCATGAACTAGGGCAACAAACTGCTTGTCAGCCTTTTAATCAAAAGTTATAAGTGAACTGAACATGTAGACACGTAGCTGTCTCTCATCCACAATTATGTACTCTAATTGGAGCAGGGACATTTACAATCTTAATACCAACATGACTTGTAGCTAGCTGTAAGGAGAACAAAGGTCACATTGATGGACTGCTCTTGACCTGTAAAATGACGGTTTAACATGACACATATCTGCTGCTGGTTTCTAAAATATTCGTTTTTTGAAATGGTTTTAATTCAAGCTATCATTCAAGCTCATTGTTCATTTTGTTTGAGCTGAGAAGCGACAAAGCAGCCACGTGTTCGCAGTCATCCAGAAGTTCCTGTTATACTTGTTTGATACAACACAACCTGCAAATGCTGATTAAGAAACTCCAACCTTGACACATCCTGTATGTGTGTTTGCATTGTGTGTGTGTGTGTGTTAATATTTTTTTTCAGAAGTCTCCCTGCAGGATGTATGTTGCATACATGTGAAGCTCCATGCCATACTAAATTATTGAACACAGTGACCTATCTGAGGCAATGGCTGGAAATGGTTCCGATGTCATATGCTAGTGATGATGTTGGTGATGTGACTCACTGCTGGTTCTAGCCAAAACATTTGCTCCAACAAATCCTCACCTTGTACGAAACTCAACTGTGAAGTGTGTTTGTTGTATCATCGCAGCCCCAGAGAAAAAAACGGGAAATGGTTCCTTGAGAAAAATGTCTGAAAAATATTTTAAGCAGCTCCACAGCAGCTCCTTCTGAAAAAAGTTTCAGCTTCATGGCTAATTTCTCGCTCCCCACACATCTTGTAGCTTCATAGTTTCCATTAGAGTGAGGTCTTGTAGAAGCTAGCTGTTAAACACCAAAACTTTGTCATTTACTTTATCAAAGAGCATTTTGTCCTTGGAGCTCATCCAGGTTAGCTGCATGGTTCCAGCTGTAATGACTCTGACATTTCCCCTTTAATCACTATGACAGTATCTGTGCAAACACACTGACTTGTCTTCTGCTTAAACAAAAAATAATTTGTCTTGTAAACTGCAACATTCTGCATCTGCTTTTCGAAGTTTCTGTATTGCTGAATAGCTTTTTTGTATTTATGACTTGTATCATCGACTGTATGTGAAGGCAAGATGTTCCCCACCTGCGACTTTGATGAAGGGTCTAGTAAAGCAAACTGTCATTTCAATGCCCGATCACTGTTGACCAAGGGAACACACACACACATACAATAGACTGTGTCAATCTAACGAAATGATCTGCTGCTGCTGCTGCAAAAAAAACCCCAGTGTGTCACAATCTTTAACTCGACTATGAGCTTGCATAATAACTTCTGTC